GACATCGTGTTCGGCGTCATGACCAAACAAATTGTCTGGTACGGACATGTCATTAGGATGACGGAAGAGAGGCTGCCAAAAAAGATGCTTGATTGGGTTGCTCTTGGGAGGAGACGTAGGGGACGCCCAGTGAGAGGTTGGCGACAGGGGGTGTTAAATGAGATGAGGGAGTGTCAACTCCCTGATGACCTGTGGGAAGCCCGAGCTTTGTGGCGATTAGGCGTCATAAAGCGTCAAAGAGCGCTATAAAAGCGACTCTCGTGTGTATGTAACAAGAGACGACGTTTCTCCATTTGCGACGTTGCAGACTTCCTTAGAAATTTTATTTTTCTTTCGAGAAGCTGGTCAACATAAAACTTAAATTCTCCATGATTTTTCGTATTCGGAAGCAGAAGATTGGGTTCAAAATTTAAAGTCGTACATTTGGATTGTTTCTCATGGAAGAGATGAATTAAACACAGAAATTTTGAAACACCGCAATGGAGATACGTGGTTTCCCACTTCAGTCGGACCGATACATACATCCAACAAGCTTAAATAGTTGCATCAAGTCCCCGTCACCGCCGACCAACGCGTTTGTCGATCGAATCAACTACAGGTAGTATGGTATGCGTAGGAAGTCAAAACGCCTTCAATTTTTTGAACGCAATACGGACATCCGTCGAGGTTGAATAGTTGTATCAAGGCGCCGTAGCAGTCACGTCCCATTGTTTATCGCTACTGACGAATATAAGTTGAGAGAGGCCAGTCATAATGCATTCAATTTTATACGTACATATTTTTGTGGAAAATGAGAGACGACGTTTCTCCATTTGCGACGTTGCGGACTTCCTTAGAAATTTTATTTTTCTTCCGAGAAGCTGGTCAACATAAAACTTAAATTCTCCATGATTTTTCGTATTCGATGGCCTTTTTGGCGATTCCTTTTGAGGATCAGTATGATGACATTTTTAAAAAGCAATGACGCCATACGTCAAGAAACTCCCATTTTGTTGGTGCGCCTTCTTTTCAGCACTCTGTTAAAGTCTCCGATGTGAATGCTGGTTTGGTCCAAATTTAAAATTGTTTTATCTTAAATTAAAGCTGTGTGTGTACCGAATTTAACGGTGCAATTGAGGGGCTTAGAGAACAAGGCGCATAAGTTCAGTTTTTGAAAGAAATAGGTTCTTTAACTTCGATTAAAATTAGTCCTAAAGTATATTCTCTGGAAAATTCGCTCCCAAATTCCAATTTTTAAGCATCAAAAAGTAAGTTTAAGTTTTCTTTCCACAATCCGTGCAATTTTAAAACTTCAAACACGTATTTCTCGAGATAGCAAAAACTGCACTTATACGCCTTATCCTCCAAGCTCCTCAATTAGTTTTTTCCAGCGTTTTTGAACCGCGAAATATTAGCAGGATACCTCACTAGATGACCATCGTGTATTTTCAAAAAATGGCTCTCGTTATCTAAGACGTCATCTAATTCCAATATCTATTGGAATTTATACTTTGCATTTGATAAACAACTTACCGTGCAACCTTCCACCTAGTAAGCTGGAACAAATTAGTATGTGACAAAATTGGCGCGAAAAAGGGGTTCTGTAAACATTTTGAGAGCAATCAGTGCTAATGCCATTAATTACCAAATAAGTTTACTCCCTAGGCAAATTTTTAGATATTTATCGGGTGAGATTTGTCATGGCTGCGACTGCGGGAAAAATACGAGGGTATGCGGGTAAAAACTTTTTTGGGGGAACTGTGCGAATCATCGAAAAACGCGCCAAAATCAGATCTTTATACAACTTTTGTGCCTCACGTGCCACTTAGAACGGCGCACAGTGGATCGAGTCAACAGGAGATTTCGGACAAAATTCAAAAACTTTAAAAGCCTCTGACTCCGTTAGTTCAAAACGTTGAGGTTCTAAAAGTGGTTACGTTTTCTCGTGAAATTTTCTTCAATAAGTACCCCCCGAACTTTAAAATTTGACGAAAGAAACATCAAAATTCGCAGTTTTTGTCAAATATTTAATGTCCGACTCCTCTGATTGACTCGATCCACTGTGCGGTGGAAACAAGACTTACCTTGACTACGACTGATCTTTGTGAATTTGGCTACATTGAAGCATAAGAAAAAGAATTCGGATTTTTTTTTTTTCAGAAAATCTGTGATGACCATGTGAAATTATGCTAAAAGTTGTGTCCAAAGCAAATTCTCAGACTTTTAGCCGCACGCGTACATTCTCTATATCGCTCAAAAACGCGATTTTGGCTCAAATCTATAATCGAACTGAAGGACTTCAGGATATGAAAATTATTCGTCGAGCTTTTTAGGGGCTAAAAAAACATCCTGAAGAACGCGTCGGGCAGTAGCAATTCCTCATAGTGAGCGACATAGGTTGAGAAAATCTAAAGTTTCCGAAAGCTTGCAATTTTTAGCGAATTGAATTCTCGAATATTTTAGACAATTTCGGAATCTCAAAAAGTGCTACGCCATACAGTCATATTTTGGGTGAAGGTTTCATTTTGTGTTTAAAGCAAAGCATTCTCATCAGCCGCTACACACTTTTTTTGAAATCAATCAATACATCGCAAAACACGCACACTGTTCGGGACCTCCGACATTTAAAAAAAGTTTGCTGCGACTTGGACGATTTTTCGTCATTTTTGCCTTGAAAAATGTTTTCGTTATTCGCAAAAATTCCGAGGAGAATTTTTTAGCGGCCCATCTTATTAATTACACTAATTGTAAACAGGAAAGTTCTAAATTTGTAAAGCCAAGGTAGGACTTAAAAACTTTTTTTATTGAGATTTTTGAGACTATTCAAACATTGCGACAGTTAGTCAGAAAAAAAACAAAGAATAAAATACACTTTATCATACTTCAGTCAGTATAAATAATAAAAGAAAGCAAAAAAGAAGAGAAAATCTTATGCTACCCAATGTTAAAACTATGACTAATCTAAATGAAAACAAAGTAAATAAATAAATACAAACGAAAAGAGAGAACAAAGGGTAAGGGTGTAAGATAAAAACCAAGACGTTTAGGCCAACTAGTCGGCAATCCACGGTTGGTTTAAAAACAACAGGATATAAAATACTGGAAATCAAGTAATATATGAATGGCCAAAGATGACTACCTACCTTTTTAATTTTGTTGGTGTATGGGTGACGACTGCGTTACCTCGCTCGGTTTTTATTATATTTTATTTATTTATTTATTGTGTAATTAACCGAGTTTCATATTTTTTCCCTTTGTTTTTCTTCTGAAATCCAGAGGTTGAGCAGCAACTGGGATCAAAACACCACTCAATTTTTCTTAAATTTTGATGGTTTTTGTACGTTTTTGGGAGTTGTTGTTTTATCTGCTGCTGGAGTTGTTGTTACATGCTCTTATCACCTAAGCTTGCTCGTATTTTCTCAGAACTTTCGTCATGCGTGTTTCATTAGCGGATCCAGCAAAGTGGCATCATTGCTTTTTCTCAATTTAAACCTATGGAAATGTATCGATTCTTATAGGGGCCAGGTGTTCCAACAAGAATCGATTATTTAACGTGGGTTTAAGTGGAGAGAATCCGGTGTTGCCAAATTGCTGGATCTGCCTCTGGTGTGTTTCACTTAAAAAATGACGATTGAATATGTCTTATCACTTATTTATGTGGAAAAAAAATTTTCACTTAACTACAGATGACGATCACTGATACACTCTATACACCCTAATACTTTGACGACCCACACTTTCAGCCGCAGCTGTGGATCAGTTGAAAACATTAAATAGAGTGGCATATTTTCCCGTGGCATTTGAATTAATGAAAAAATCATAAGCTTTACTAATAAATTAATATTGACTTACTATTTTTCAGTCGAATTACTTTTCATAATTATTAATATCCTCAGCTTCCGAAGATTGACAGTAACTAAGGAGCAGAAAAAGTCTACTGAAAACATCTTAGGTTATTTTTATGGTGTGTTTGCTGAGTTTTTAATGGTTCACGCATTTGATTTGGTGGGGTTTTTTTTTTTATACTTTTGAGGCCTAAAAGTTGCTAATTGGTTAATTTATTGTGTGACTTTCAATTATTTATTCAAACAACTACTTAAATTCTTAAAGATTAACCATAAAAGTTTCGTATTTTTATATATTTGGATCCTTACATCTTATAAGCATTCATATTTGTATTGATCCATAGATTTCTTCTTCGTAAGTTTGGCTCTGATAATATTGATTATGCTACGAAAACTTATTTTATTCTTAATTTTAGTTTTATTCTCTGCTATGATTTTAAAAGTACAGAAACTTTTTTTTACGGTATAAGAAACCTTATTTTAATATTTAAATTTTGTTTTTAATTTAATAAATTCCCAATTCAGATCCGTTTTCTCAGGAACACAAAATGTTGAAAAATTTGCTTCAAAAATCAGTCGAAAAAGTGGATGCGAGCTACAAAATCCTGAGAATACGGGAAAGGAGATGACGGGTTTTCTGAATTATAGCTTTGACTGCAGAGAAAAATTTTTTTTTGGTAAGGTATTCACTATGCTTACATAGATGGTGTTTTCATCTATTCTAAACGGAAGTACTTACTTTCAGCTAATCTTTAAATAAAACATGTCACTGAAGTCATATAAAATTTTAGCAAATGTTCACAAATTATTGAAAGTTGCATTCAGTTGCATTTTTCAAATTTTGTATTATTAAAACATAATTCATACACGGAGAAAAAAACCTCGTGCAGGGGACTCGAAGTTGAGGTCATATGGATCTCTGAAGTTTTCGGGTCTCGCATCCGAAAACTTGAAGTCCAGCTGCCGAAGTTCGGGTCAGACATCTGAAGTACTTAACTACATACCGAAGGGTTCGGGTCACACATCTGAATTATCCGGTACATACCTGAGTACTTCAGATGTCTGACCCGAACTTCGGCAGCTGGACCTCAAGTTTATGGATGCGTGATCCGAAAACTTCAGAGATCCACATGATCTCAACTTCGGGTCCCATGCACGAAGTTATTTTTTCCGTGTACTTATTAACTTTATATGGTTTATTTAGTTATATTTGCTACAAATTATAAATTAAAAACTGACTTTGAATGAGGGAAATCTTAGTTCTAAAGATGTTTACTACGCATTTTATCATCAACATCACATGGACATGGGCTGCCTAAATGGGTCCTGTAAACCTTTAGAACATTCTTCTTCATACTTCAAAAACGCAGGGAAACAACGAGAAATTGAAGCCGTTGATTTACGTAGCCCTAAATCAAAAGATAATTAAAAATAAATGATGGAGAATACTTCAAACATTAATAATGCCGGCCTAAGATGAAATAAAATTTCTAACTTGGGCGAGATTTCTTGGGCATTCATGAAATTTCACTCTCCTTAAACATTTGTTTTTACTTGCACATCGATATGGGGGTAAGGAAATTTCTGAGATGGTTGTCACACAAAACCATCCTTCTCCCGGAATCCAATCGACCCTTTTTATCTTTCTTGTGACATTTACAAAAATGGTTGTTGCTCTTCTCCCTTTTGACACATCCCCCGTAGTCGAATTTCTTGCATGTCACCAAATGCTTCGGCCTACCTTTGATCAAATCAATTGCCAATTTCAAGGTACCTCTTGTCGTCAGCCTACCGGTCGCGACTCCCAAGAATTCGCAGTAAGTCTGGCAAGTTTTCTGCAGAACTTTTGTTCGCTCATTGTCTCTTCTCATTTCATACATGAGTACACACGGGTCAATGAGTCGGTTGAGCATTATTTTCATGACATCGTCGAGATCTCTTTCTGCCGCCTCGTATTCCTCCTTCAAGTTTCTGCTCGGGTCATCTCCCTCCACACTCAGCTGCCGACCCGGAGACGAACCCCTAGATTGTGAATTAGATCTTGACGGACTGTTCGAACTTGATCTATTCGGAGAAGTGTTGTCATTTTCCGAATCTGAATCCGATGTGTACGAGTTCCCTGAGCCCTGTCGTGTTATGACATTGCCAATATTTGAGAATCCCCTCATTGATCCCATTGGTTTCCCGGTTCTCTTTCCATTCCATCTACCGAATAAGCCGTAGACATATGACTTCGACTGAAAAACAAAGAGGCGTCAATTAAGATCAGCAACCTATTGCGCTGGTTCCAGAATCGTGTTTTTGTGCTTTGTTTTTGTGTAGAAAACTAGAAATAATAAGATCTGTTCAAACAGCAACTCTCTGCTATCAATATTAACCGAGATAATGCGCTTTGAAAAATTCGGTTCACGACGTTACCGCAGTTGACATCCACGGTTTCTTCCACCTTGGTCTGATCAGTCAGGAGGGAGAAACACATTTGCACTGGTCAGTCGGCATGAAACTCGGACGAGAACAAAACGGAAGACAAGTAGTGAACTCCAACACAATGTGTTGATAAGGCGTGTCATAGTCTTATATAGAGTACCTGTATAGCGAGAGTATGGACCGATGTGAAACTCCGAAAATACATCAGGCCTTCATTGATTCTTCTGCGAAAAAAGTTAGGGCCCAAAAGGGCAGCCAACCTATGAATTTCAAGTATCCAGAGCGATTTACCAATACTATTGTTACGAACCGTCGTTTATTATGCACGTGTTTGACTCAGTTTTTGCGTAAATTTACTCAATTTTGCGGAAGAACGCTCATTTCTATACATTCTTGGCTATCTTGGTTACAACTGGAATCTGCAGACAGGCAGTGAAATTTTGTGCGTTAGAAGTTGGTTAGAAGGGTGGCTGCACTTTTGGGCCCTAAGCCCTCCATGAAGCGATCTGTCCATACTCTCGCTATACAGGTACTCTAGTCTTATATCGATGGTGAAAGTGCAGAAGTACGTATCTCAATTTTTGACAGTTTTTAGTTAGCTGCTTAAACGTGTCGTTCGAGATATCGTCCATCCGCCAGCAAGAGATCATAATCGAAAAAAATCGGCAAGTGACCAAAAATCGTAGAAATTTTTTCGCGTATTTCGAGCTTAAGTGCAGAAATGCGTATCTCGCTCTACGGCAACACTAAAAACAGCTGGCAAAAAATATCGATCATTCTCGCCTCGCCACTGGGCGCTCTAATATCATTCTCTTCACACCCTCCGATTTTAAGCTGTATTTTCAAGGCACAATTTGACGAGCAAAATCCAAGACCGGAAATCGGTGTTACCCGTGACTGGAAGGGGCAACATTTTTCATGCACAATTTTACGCAAAAAAATCAAAATCAGAGTGTGGTATCACCCCCAGACGTGGATATACTCTTTGGATTGAAGGAGCTATATGCAATACTCTGCAACTCTATACATCGATCCACATTTGCCCTGCACAATATTGTAACACCACCAACCCCCTTACCCCATCCAATTCATATTTTAATGCACAATGTTACAATACTGCCCACCCCGCACACCCTAATTCAATTATTTGTTTATGAACAATGTGGCACAATATCTAGTATCAAATCCCCATTTTCATAATAAGTACTACCATTTTTCTTGGGAGTCTCCAAAACACGAATAGTGCTCGAATGACCAACTACTGAGTAAAGAATTCGCGGAGCTAGCGAGTGACACATTTTCTCATACGTGATAAACGTATAATACGATTCGCGCGTTTTTTTCAATTCGAAGAGAATCATTGAAAATATTTCGTAACAAACATATTAACGAGCTTCGAGGCGTAATTTCAAATTTTCCGCTCACAAGTAAAACGAAGTTCTACTGGAGTTGAGTCGCACACTGAATGTCACCGTAACAGTCTCTGCGGTATGCAAATAGAGGGCAACCGCGATATCTGCGCTTCACTTTAGCCATTACTCGTTGCTTACACTATGGCCTAATATGGTAATTGATTAAGAAGTCTACTAAAATCGTTACGGTTTACAATTAGATTTACGTAAACTCTGGTTTTCTTTGAGAGCATGAAAAAAGTTTTCATAACTAGCGCCAAATAAAAAGAATAAACTATTTTATTCGTTATGTGTCTGTAGATAGTTGTAGACTTTTAGGAAGTAAAGGAGTAGAATCCAAACAAACCTAAACAAGCTAGGTAAATCCAACACATGCACCGAAAAAAATAATATGCTGTTTCAGCACCTAGGATGTTAAAAATGTGTCTGGTGATCCGGAGTTGTTGTCCTTACTGCCCTCGCAGTTAACTTTACATCCTGTGAATGCAAATTTTACTCTGTAGGCAGTTAAGGCAGCATCGTGAGATCACCAGACACATTTTTAACATCCTAGGTGCTAAAACAGCATATTATTTTTTTCGGTGTGGTGTTGGAAGACCGTGCCGTAAGCATATATCTGCATAGTCACATTCAGGCATACCTATCCTATGGTTTTTGGTCACTGAACGAATTATAGAAACGCCTTAAATTAATTGTGAGTTATATTAATCCTGCCAAAAACGTTCCCATGTAAATATGAGCTGCCAAGCTAAAAATATAAACATTCGTCGCATAAAATGTGATGATATCCCAAATAATAGATGCTGAGTAAAATTTATTGACGATGGTGTAAAGTTTCTCCTGTCTTCAACATTACTATCAGGGAAACGCAAGATATAGACAAAAAAATTCAAAAAAATCGGTTCAAATTTATCGATATTTTTCGTAGTTCAAAGCAACCTCTGTCATCACAGCTTGCGTTTGGTTGACTTGCGGTCAGCTGCAAATAAAAGTGAACATTAATCTGACCCAATGAGAGATTTTAAGCACAACTCATAGGCTACTTGAGACAACGGGACCAAGTTTAACAAAAATGAATTGATCAATTGCAGAAGCGAAAACAGCACTTTGAGCCTCATCCACACTCTTGGATTTGAGAATTTCGAGGATTGCACTAAAAACTCGGATTGCTTGTCGAAAAATACCTCCTGGTACAAAGTTTTACGAAAATCGATGGAATAGGAGCCAAGACAGCATTTTAGACCACATCCGCCATCTTGGATTTGCGAATTTTGAAAAAGTGACTGAAAATTCGAGTTTCTCGTCGAAATGTACTCTCTGGTAACTAGTTTAACAAAAATCTATGCTATAAAAGCCGAGATACAGGGTGCAAGAATGATGTGTCGCCGTGAAGGAGGAGAAGATGACGGAGAAGTCAACGATTAGGGTCTCACGGTCATAGCAATGATTGGTGGGTCGCTGGACACTTGGTAACTTGCTAGTGTATCTTGGCCTTAACTGCCTGCCGAAATGACAGCCAATCGGAATCTCTGTTACATGGCCTCGCATAGAGTCCCTTTATACTGAGAGTCAAGACAATTCGGCTCATGGATGTCACAAACGGGAATAAAGATTACAGAAATTGAACGTTTTTCGTAATCTTTGATCGGCCCATTCTCAAATGCCTTTCTCCGTTCCTCCTCTCATTCCGTTTGTTCCTTGCCGAACCCGTAATTCCCTGGTCCACTCCAGATTATAATCTTTGCAATTGGTTTTTTTTTTTTTTATTTATTTGTAAATACATAGAACATTTACAAGTATGTTAATAGACCTTACGGGTCTTTGAAAACTTTGTATGAACTTATATATAATATATAATATATATATACACCACTTTTAGAGCCTATTATGAACTAAAAGCCACCATGTGAAGCAGCCTAACCAGAATTACATGACAAGATAAAAGAGAAATGAGCAAATAGCAGAAGATATTTGTGGAAAACAGGCCAGATGGGCAACAGAATTTACAACAAAGAGAAAAGGAGACGAGAATGGGTAAAAAGTGGGAAAAATTAACGGATAAAATAACTATAAAAACCCCCCCAAACGAATGAGAGATCTTGAATGTAACTGTACATAACCCGGTCGGTCGACTTAGACCATGTCGGGGGCCAGAGGTACAAAAGCCAGTTAGCACTGTCGAAAGTGAGCCGTTGCCAGCTCATGGGTTTTCCTGCGTTTAAGGCGTCTAGGGTCCGACGCCCAATCCAGAAGCGACATCGCCTCTGAGTTGGGGTGTCGGCCCAGTCGCTCTTCGTAGTTGTTGTACAATTTCGAGATGTAAACGTCTATCTCCTCTATACCGAGCTCGCTCCTAATATCAGCGTTTCTCTCGTACCATCTGGCCCCCACCATTTTTCTTAAAATCTTATTTTGTGTTCGTTCTATGATCAATAAATTTGAATTGGAAGCACAGGCCCACATCTGGCTGCCGTAACTCCAGATTGGCCTTATCATGGATTTGTAAAGAAGAATTTTGTTTTCAAGAGATAATTTTGAACGGCCTCCAAGAAGCCAAAACATTTTACGATACTTGATATTAATCTGTTTCTGTTTAGTGAGGATATGTTCCCTCCAATTAAGTTTACTATCCATGATAAGGCCAAGGTATGGAGCCTTATAGGCGTGCGGGATAGTAGTGCCATTTAAAACCAAGGGTGCATAAACGTAAGGCCGTAGGGTAAAGACCACGTTCACCGATTTGGTCGCATTAAGCGCAGTACGGTCGTCTTCAGTCCATTCCTGAATATCACCCAGGCTCTCCTGAAGATTGTTGACCGATTCTTCATATGTGGGGGCAGCAGATGCGACGGCAGTATCATCTGCAAATACCCCGAGTTTACCCTTCTTAGGCTTGGGAATATCAGCCGTAAAAAGACTGTAGAGTAGAGGAGACAAGACTGAACCTTGCGGAACGCCCGCCCT